CATGAAACACAAGGACAAAACAACGTGAACTAAACGGATGCCCAATGCAGTGTCAACAGGTATGTTCTCTGAGCTCTTCCTAAATCAGTGATTACTAAGACATCTTGATTGTATGTTCATCCAATTTCAGACTGAAGAAGTTGGTAGAAATTTTCAATATCTTAATCTTTCACTGAGTGGTGTTGTTGTTGTTAAGTGCCATCGAGTCATAGATGACTCAAAGTGACCCTTTGAACGAAAGACCTGAACACTTATATAACTTCCACCTTTTCTCCAAGTTCATAGGTTTTCCAGAGGCAAGCTATTTTGGAAGTGGATGCCACTCCTGCTTCCAGGCTTGTTTTAATCAGGGAGTTTCACCAAACACTGTCCACCATGGGTAACCATTATCACATTTGACACACCAGTGTCACAGTGTTCAGCTTCACAGCAACTGCCAGTTACCTCTGTATAGCAATGTACAGACCAGGGCTATACAACATAGAAGAATGGTTGACCAAAAAAAAAAAAAAAAATTAAAAACAGGCCTAAGGGCCGTGGATTAGAGTCACACACCTTTGGCTTGATAGCATCACTTTCTGTCCACTAGGCCAAATGATCTCTCTTGTTGTTGTTGTTAAGTGCTGTCAAGTCATAGACGACTCATAGTGACTGTATGAACAAAAGACCTGAACACTTGTATAACTTCCATCTTTTCTCCAAGTTCACAGGGTTTCCAGAAGCAAGCTATTATGGAAGTGGATGCCACTGCTGCTTCCAAGCTTGTGTTAATTGGGGAGATCCACCAAAGGCTGTCCACAATGGGTAACCATTATCGCATTTGATACATCAAAACAAACAAACAAAAAACCCCACCAAAACCAGAAACACCCAAACATTCCATAATGACCCTCCACCAAAGCAAGAGACCCCATCTTACTGAGTCTAGTCGCTCCACTCAGTTGCCGAAATGGATACAAGGCCTTGGCCCTAAATTCAAGTGTCCTCCTGGAGGTCTTATTGACTCTAACCATGAGGCTTAAATAAAGAAAACTATCTACACAGACCCTCAACCAAGAGTGCCATCCATCATACAGCATCAAGCCAATGGAAGTACAAAATGGAAAACAAGAGCTTTGCAATATATATTGCTGTTGTGGTTAAGTGCCGTGTATTACTAACCCCATTGGAAAAAAAAAAGAGAGACATTAACTTTGTTCTATAACTATTGTCCTTTATCTATGTTTATAGAGTTTCCACATGCATCTTTAGGAAGTAGATGCCACTCCTGCTTCCAAGCCTATGAAAATCCGTTAGCTAACCAGATATTGCCAACCAGGTGTAACCATTATGGCACTTGATAGACCAATAGCACAACCTTCAGTATCACAGCACTCCATAGTTACCTCAATACAGAGAAATGACAGAAGAATACTGTAACACTTATGAATGTTAACTTCAAAAAACAATATCAATCAGGCCCGAAGGCCAAATTAAAACACAGCCACAGGTTTGCCCATGCTTCAGGTTTCCCTCAGCTCCCATCAAAAGGCCTCTGGCAAGCCAACCCAGAGACCTTCCCCACCATAGAGGAAGAGTGGTTGGTGTGTACATCATTAAAAAAAAAAACAAATTTCATTTCTTAATATTGCCAAAATATCATCCGTGCCCACATTTCAGTTATGTCACTATTTGATCATATTTCTTTTCTTTCTTTCTTTCTTTCTTTCTTTTTTTTTTTTTTTGCAGTTTGTTTTTAATCAGATCCCAACAACACTCACCTAATGTGGTTTCTTGAGATGTCCCTGGTGTCTTGGAGATCCATGATTTCTCCACTTCTCTATTTTCTATGCAATTTATTTGTTGAGGAAACCCGGTGGTTTATTTTATAGAATTCCCCACAAACTAGATTTTATTGAACACTTCCTGTGGTATTTTTTAACCTGTTCCATGGCATTTGTACTTTCCAGATTAGATTCAGGTGTGATATTTTTTAAACAAGACAACTTCATTGTTTCGTGGGGTGTTCATCCATACCAAGGCAAATAGCGTCTTGTACCCTATGCTTTTAAGATATTAGCCAGTTTCAAGGTCTCATTTGTTTTTCCTTTAGACTTTGATGGGAAAACAGAATGGATCACTTCATGTGTTAGGCACAGGAGGGATAGGTGTGAAGAAAAAGGAAGCTCTGTTAGCCATCTAGTCTTAGGATTAACCATCTACAAGGTAAACAACTTTACTACTGGGAAGGCCAACTATATTCTGGAATAACTCGAATATGCTAGTGCTCTGTAGTATTCTTTCTGTCTTGCTCTGCCTTCACTGAAGCTCCGTGCTGTTCCCTCAGTGTGGCATGAGCCAGCATAAAAGGGTGGTAAGAGTTTGGGGGTAAGTGTACTAGTTTCCTTTTGCTGCTATAACAGTTTATCATAAAATTAATGTCTTAAAGCAAAACAACTTTATCTTGAAGTTTTGGATATTAGAAGTCCAAAGTGGGTTTCACCAAACTAAAATCAGGATGTTAGCAATCCTTCTGTAGACTCTAGGGGAGCATCGACTTCCTTGCCTTTTCCAGATTCTCTATGTTGGCTGCACTCCTTGTTGATTTCTATGCTCTCCGCCCTCCACTTCCATCATCACAACCAAGGACCTTTCACAGACAGGAAGTGAGGGAAGAAGGATGAATAAAGCACGCATCACAGGGCATAATGAGAAAAGTTCCGATTCTAAATGAGGACTATAGTCAGTTTCATAAAGTACACAGAGATGGTGTAATTGAATACCAATCTGCTCTGTAAACTTTATCTTAATCACAATAAAAATATTTTTTCTTTTCTACTAGTTTATTTACAAAATTCAAATACATTGTTTTCAAGAACAAAAGCGTTCAATTTCCCTCACTACCCCCCCCACCCATCAAATTGTACAGCCTCATAATAAATCCCCCCACACAAACACCATACATCCTCATCCCTCAGCTTCCAGCCTCTCCCACCCCTCTTGGAACCTTATACTAATTCTAAAATAATGGTTTTATACAATATTTGTCCTTGTGGGACCGAGTAAGTTCACTCAACATGATGCTTTCCAGTCCCTCCCAAGTTAGGTATTAATTTACAAAATTATTGCTCCTGCATGCTGCGTAGTATCCCATTGTGTGAATGTACCATAATTTCTCAATCCATTCGTTTGTAGTTGGACATTTCCATGTCCTTGCGATGGTGAGTAATGCTGCTATGAATATTGGTATACAAATCTCAGTTTATGCCTCAGTTCTCATATTCTCAAGGTTTATTCCAAGGAGTGGAATAGCTGGGTCACATAGAATTTCTATATTCAGCTTTTTAAGGAAGCACCGAACTGCTTTGCAGAATGGTTGCACCATTTTACAATCTCACCAACAATTCCTTTCTCACCACATCCTCTCCAACATTTATTACTTTCTGCCCTGTTAAACTTTGCCACTGTTACTGGAGTGAGATGGTACCTCATTGTGGTTTTGATTTGCATCTCTCTCATTGCCAGTGATTTGGAGCATTTCTTCATGTGTCTGTTTGCCATTCAAATATCTTCCTCTGGGAAAATTCTTTCCATGTCTTTTACCCATTCTGTAATTGGGTTATCAGTCTTTTTCTTGTGGAGGCCCAGGAGTATTCTGTAAACTGTTTTAAGACTCTGAGATGGTATTACCAAGTATTTGTTTCCAGTCTGCAGGTTTTCTTTTCACTCTGTTGGGAAAAGTTTTTGATGCACACATGGGTTTAATCTTCTGAAGGTCCCATGCATCAATGTTATCCTCTTTAGATGGTGCATTTCTGGTTGTATTACAATAAAAAGATTTAAAATAGGTAAATAAAGTTCCTTCACTTACCAGAAGCATTGTTGTTACATCAAGTCCACCTGGATAATCCAGGATAATCTTTTTATCTAAAGATCCTTAACTTCAATATCTGCAAAACCCCATTTGCCATGAAAGGCAAATACGTTCAGATGTTTCAGGGATTAGGACGTGGCCATCTTTTGGGGGCCATTATTCTTCCTATCACAGGGGCATCACAATGCCCATCTAGCCCCCAAAAGAAGACATCAATGTTCTTATTCTGGATCTGCTTCAGAAAATTTGGATGACTGTACTTTAGAAAAAGTGTTTAGGAACACATTACATTCACTAGAAGCAGAAAGAAAAGGGGAATGGATGTAAGTTGAGAGGTGTTTATGATGAACAAAGAAGAATTTTTGTTTTGTTCTCCTTTGAGGAGAATGAAAGGCAGGGTGAAGTCTTAAGAAGGGTGCGAAAGACTCAGAAAAGCTGCTGTTGGAGTTGGGAAAGCTGCCAACTGAGGTCGAAAAATCAAATTGCTTACCTGAGGGCTTAGGTGCCATGAGAACACAGCCTGGAGAGCTGAGGCGGGGTCAGCTGCCAGAGGAGCCAAGTCCTGCACATGTGAATATCCCTAAATGTGGTACAAAGCACCCATCTACAGAGGCACCTCAGATTTTCCCACCAGCCCAACCAGTGACATCAGAGTCCAAGTGATCCTATCATCCTCTTTTCTCTAGATCATTGCTTTTCTTTGTGTCCTCAATTCCTTTAAGAGACCTGGCACTAATTAGGCTAGCTTGAGAAGGCGTGGGGCTTGGGGGAGGGGAGGAAGATGAATCATCACCCACACTTGAAAACAAACCAAGACATCTTTAAAAATCTAATCTCTACCACAAAGAGCAATAAAAGCAAAATACTGCACTCACAAAGAGGACCTACAGCCTACAGCGTTAATTTTTAAAAGGATAGAATGTGGAGGATCTGATAAGCTGGACCAGCTGCGTCTTTTTACTAAGATGTTTTCCTAAAAGACACCTCCTGAAGCTTGGGAGTATTTCTCTCTTGCTGTGTCATAGGATGTTCCTTTCCCCACCCCCTCCTGCCCGCTGCCAGTGCCTCTGTGAATGTGGGTATGTGTGTGTGTGTGTCTTTGGTTTCTCTCTCCCTTGTAAGAACAGGGCATGCCTGTCCCCTGTTGTTACTGCTCTGACTTGCTTTTTGCTGCCTTTCTCATCTCCTCCTCTCTCTGTGCTTAGCTCCTTACTTTCTGGTGAGTATGACAAACAGTTGTGGTGTTCAAAACTTGCACCTTTAAGACTGCCAGTTAACTTGCTGAAGACTTTTCTATTATTTTCTTTACAGTTAAAACGTGTTGCTCAGGAAGGGTGTGTGTGTGTTTGTGTGCGTGTGAATCTGTGGGGACTGGCAGTGCAAGTGAAGAATTTGCTTTCTTTCTGAGGAAAAACTTCAAAAGAAGTAGTGAAGTTTACATAAATGTCACTATAAAGAATTGTTTTGCTGTACCAGCAACTAGAAATGGCTAACTTAAAAGTAACTGAGAGTGCCTTTGGCTGTGTTTCTTTCCCTGTTGTTGGTTTATCTTGTGGCTACTTGTAGGAAGCATGCCATCCTGTAGTTTTCATTGACTCAGTTACTCTGTTTTCAAGCAAATGAGGAGCAGGAGGTTGAAGGATAGTCAAGGAATTAGGTCTAAAAAAGCCAGCAGGGGTGCAGTCTTTGATGAATAAAGAGCAAATCAATACAAATAAAGTATTCGCATTTAGACTAACCACACTAAAACTCTTAGGAAGTGAGGGCTTTTAATGAATTAGTTTGATGTTTGGATTACTTTAAATTTACATTTCATTCTAAAATAAACCCCATATGGTGCTTGTAAACTCGCATATGGACTTAATGTTTACGCTTTTCAATGGATATAGAAATTACTCTCCTCCCTTGATTTTCAAGGATAAAGTGCTAATGACTCCTTTTAGAAGAGCTTAAAATAACTTTTGGCTGGACAGCAGGTGCCATGTGTCATTCTCCAAGTCCAGAGGGAGTGACTACAGGCAAAAGTTATATATAGATGAGTGCGCCCAGCAAGGAGAGGTCAGGATCAAGAGACGTGCCACACTGAGGACGATGAAGCCTCATTTATGGCATCATTTGGAAATAGTCGGTCAATTCAAATGAGTTCGAGGAAAAGGACTTCCTTCCAAGTTAATAAATGCTTGGTGAGTGTCACAACGTGGGTGGCAGTGTCTGTGTGGTGAACTTTCGGTTCTTCTTGTCATGCAAGCCTTTGACATCTACTGCCCTGAGAACAGAAGAAAGTTATGCAGTGTGTAGAGCAATGTGTTGTCTCTTCCATGCTACCACAGCTGCAAAACCTGCACGTTTTGAGGATCCTGCCAAACTTATGTTTTTAATTAGCAGTCTCATAGTTAAATATCATTTATAAACAAATGCACCACAGCTTAAAGAGATAAGCTGAATCAGTTGTCATTTTAATTAGAAACTCTGGAAACTTTGACTTACTTCCTCTATTTCCTAAAAGCTCATTTTGAAGTAATGTCTCACATATCTTGGGTATGTGGCCAGGAGGAACCTGTCCTTCCTTGGAGAAAGACACCATGTTCAGAAGGGTGGAGGGACAGCGCAGGAAAGGAAGACCCCAGGTGAGATAGATTGATACAGGAACTGGGGCAATGGGTGTATATGTGTTGGAGTCAGTGAGATTGGCTCAGGACAGGGCAGGCTTCAGAGCTTCTGTACAAAGGGTTTCAATGAATCACAGGAGACTTGAAGGCACATAACAACAACGTATATCTGGATTACTTCCCTGCATTGCTAATAAAATTAGGGTATCCTACTGCTTCTTGATTTGAATACAGAAGTTTGATGATAGAAAGTCTTATTTAAGAAGAAAAGATATTTTGTCATTTCAAGGAACTATTATTATGAGCATCACCATGTGTCCAAACTATTTGGTTTGTTTATTGAGAATTTCCTTCATTCTCTGCCTTACTCCCATAATGATGCTAACTCGAACCTTATACTAAAAGATGGTTATCAATAATTACATGTTACTTATCCAAGGAAAAGAAAAAGAAAGTCCCAGAAAAGCAAGAGAGTATGTACCTTCTATAACACCACATTTACCCCAAAGTAATCATCATTTTGATGTATGGATGAAAACAGATTTAAAGATCATTAAAATTGATCTTTAGTAAATTCAATTATAGTACATTTTTTGTTTCAAAAAACTAATACTATTTTTAATTGAAATATTTTCAGTCTATATATAAGTTACTTCTAATGTTGTGAACTTACATAGAATTTGTAAGAGAATGGCAACCATGAATTTACTACTTACCAAGCTAAATTATAACTATGTCCACAAGAACTCGTAACATGAATACACTTTCAGGGTTACTAATAGGGAACACTGTGAGAATTTAAAGACCATAACCACAAACATGCTGGTAGTATGCTTTGTTTTAGGGAGCGCTGGTGTCTTAGTGGTAGGAAGTTCACCACGAATCTAAAAGCAGGTGGATTGAATCCACCAGCTGCTCCCTGGAATAAAGATGGGAAATCTCTCATGTGATTTACAACCTCTGAAAACCTGCTGGACAGTCAGCTGTGAGTAGGTTCCAGTTTAATGGTATGTAACAACAACATTTGGAAAGATGGCTTCCAGATGTTCCTACTTTACTAATTACAGTATTAATGGTTTCTGAGCATTCATTCATCTGGAAGAAACAGCAATTAGTCGAGATACATTTGGGATACCTTTACTACTTATATCTACACTGGATTAACTACATTAAACCTGTGTTTCTCTTTAGAAAGTCTTCCAAATATGGAGGCTAATCAACCTGTACCAATCTCAGCAGAACAACAGTCAACACCTCCTACAGACAATTGTTCATCATTACTCAGTCAAAATGGCCTGGAGACTCCAGATGGCCAACATTCCCTAACTCCACTCCAAGCACCAGCAAAAGAGGCAGGTGTGCAGCCTGAAAAAGGAGTTCATGATATCTCTGAAGAGTTGAATCGACAACTGGAGGACATCATAAACACCTACGGGTCGACCGTGGGCACAGCAGGGAAAGAGGGTGCTGTCAAAGCCAAGGAGCAGCCCGAGAATGCCGAATCCCCCAATAACGAGGATGGAGATGGTGAGGAGAACACGGAGGAGCCCGAAAGAGAACCCGCTGCTCCGGGGGAGCCATCTGCAGCCAAAGAGCCTGTCAGCAATAAAGAGCAGAAGCTGGAAAAGAAAATCCTGAAAGGATTAGGCAAGTAGTTGAGTTCTAATATGTGAATTGTCTTTCTTTTAATTCTTTCTTATAAGAGTCACTGCTTTCAAATCCTACTGAACCTTACATTCACACATGTATGTCTACTATCTGGTTTTACTACAATAACCTTTTTTCAAGTTCTCCCTACATCTTCTCTTGCTGAACTTGACTCAAGCCTTGTCTTCTCACTAAAGTGAACTTTTCAACAAAGGCTCTCTCCTCAATGGTTTCTCACTGCTTTTAGGATTAAGTCTTAGATCCTTATGACCTTTTAAGCCCTAAAAACTCCTGCTTTATCTCAAGTGGCTCTTACACAGCATCACCTTCCTGAACTCTCACCCCATTTGTGCCACCACCGCTCTGGTTATTGTTATTGTCATTGTTATCTTTATTTTCCGGTTTTGGAACATTTACCGTGGGGAAAGTGCACATCTTACTTTCTTTACCCAGAAATATCTATCCATTCCCCATTAGCACCTTCAATTCAGTCTTTTGGGTACTTACTCATCATTTCACAAACACTCAAATGGTCTTTAGATAAGTTCATGTCTTACTATTTGGTGTTTTTAATGTACCAGGTATCTTTTCTTGAGAGTACTTGTCAATGTTCAAAATAATACATTAATTTTTGTAATTGTTTGTTTAATACTTATCTTTCCCTACTATGTATTTCTCTCAAGCGCAAAGACAGCATGAATTTGTACATCATTGCGTGTCTACTGACTAGGATAGTAGATGGCACTTATGTATTTAGCAAATATTTGTTGTAAGAATGAATATTTTTTTAAAGATTTATTTATTTATTTGTGTGTGTGTATGTGTGCGCGCGCATGCCATTAAATCATATCTGACTGGTACAGGAGGAGATTGTCCTTCCTTCTCCAGCAGAGCATCTGGTGGATTCAAACCGTGCACCTCTGGGATTGCAGTGCAGCTTCCACTAGGCTACCAGATCTCACCTAGAATGAATAATTATTTTTTAAAGAAAGAAAAAGCGTCACTTCTTTAGTTCTGCTACGAGCTGATTGGTAAGGAGTTGTGCTGCTTCCCCAAAGACATGTACTTTGAATCCACCAGCTGCTCCACAGGAGAAAGATGGGCCATCTCCTACCATGCAATTCACTGCCTCTGAACACCTGCTGGAAGGTCAGGTCTGACTTGGTTCTGACTTGACAGCACATGATGACAACAATAGTTCTGCCACTACCTATACCTCATCAGTTCCATTTGAATGTGCTGATCAGAACCACTATGATGAATCAGCATGTCCCAGTGACCTTATTTTTATTATGTGTGTGTACAATGCTGGTCCTTCACACCATCTACAGAGCACCTTAGCCTATCCTTCTAAATATTATATTATTGAATTATGAGCTTAATAAAACACAAACCACTGTGTTACTGTTGTTGTTAGTTGCTATTGAGTTTGATTCCAACTCATGTTGTTGTTGTGTACCATCGAGTCAGAGCCAACCCATAGCTGACCCTCCAGCAAGTTTTCACAGGCGGTTAGTTAATCGCCCAGGAGGACAGTGCCCGTCCTTCTCCTGTGCTGGTGGATTTGAACTGTGCACCTTCAGGATTGCAGCACATCTTCCTGTCAGTAGGCCATCAGAGCTCCACTGAATTTGACTCCAACTCATAGTAGCCCTATATACAACAGAACAAAATTTTGCCCAATTTTGTGTCATCCTCACAATTTTTGCTCTGCGTAAGCCCATTGCAGACACTGTTTGAATTCATCTCCTTCAGGGTTTTCCTCTTCATCACTGACCCTTTACTTTTTCAGGCATAATGTCCTTCTCTAGGGACTGGTTCTTCCTGATAATATACTCAAAGTATTTGAAATGAAATCTTACTATCCTCCCTTCTAAGGTGTGGTTTGGGTGCACCCCTCCCAAGATAAATTTCTTTGCTCTGTTGGCATAGTATGTTGAATATTGTTGTTATTGATTGTTGAATTGGCTCCAATTCATAGCTGACCCTCTAGTGGATTTCCAGAGGCTGTAAATAGCACAGGGGGAGATCCTGCCCATCCTTTCCCACAGAGCAGAAAGTGAATTAGAATCATGTGCCTTTGGGATTGGTCTTCCTTAATTCCACATTTCAAAGGATTTTGAGTCTTCCTTTGGTTGTCCTTATTCATTGACCAACTTCTGACATGCATACACAGCAATTGGCAATAACAAGACATAAGTCAGGCATGTCTTCATCCAAGTGGCATGCTTGTTCTTTAGTACTTTACAAAGGTCCTTTATAGCATATGTACCTGCTACCATGCATTGTTTGATTTCCTGTCTGTACTTCTCAGGGTGCTAACTATGGATCTAAGTAAAAGGAAATCATTAACTTCAATCATTTCGCCATAGTGTCATTTATTGGTCCAGTTTTGAAGGTTTTTGTTTTCTTGATGCTGTAGTGTTATCCATAATGGAGGCCACGGTCCTTGAATTTCATCAGTTAGGGCTTCAAGTCTTGCTCACTTTTTGCCAGCAAGGCTGTGTAATCTATAGAATGCAAGTTGTTGATAATCTTTTAACTCTAAAGCCATATTCTTCTTTCTTTAGTCTATTTTCTTTAATTATTTTCTCTTCACATATTATTACATGCTCATCAATTTGAATATTTTCTAGAAATAAGGAAAGGATGGCACCCATATGCCTATTTTCCCCCAATTTTAAACTGTGTAGTATTCCTTTGTTGTGTTCAAATGGTGTTTCTTGGTCTATACAGTTTCTATACGAGCACAATTGTGTATTCTGGAATCTCTATTCATCTCAGCGTTATTCTTTTTTTTTTTTTCACCTGCTTATCCTCCCCAAAGCACAGAGTCCCTAAAAGTTACACTTAAATCCCAAACTACTCATATTTCTTGATGATTTATATAGTCAAATGCCTTTTCATAGTCAATAAAACAAAGTTTCAACTAAGATACACTGAACACTCACAATGGAATCCTTCATTCCCCTTCCTCTTCTGAATCCACCTTACATTTTGGCAGTTCTCTCAAATGCCGCTCCAGTCATTTTTAAATAAACTTCATCTTGAGTTTGCATATGAACAATTGATGGTCTGTTTTTCAACTAGACTCTGGACTTGTTCTGACCGATAATGATTTGCTTCCATATCCTTTTCCACAGGTGTGTTATTTATATATTCCAGTCAGGCAAGAGCCATGTCACTGTTTATGCTTTTTTCTTTAAAAAATGTATTTGCAATAACAGATTTCTTTATTCTTTGTTTATTTTTTTAAATTTTATTAATTTTGATGAACATTAGAGATTTGGAGTTTTCATTCATTCATTGTTGCACTATTTTCTCTACCCTCCTCCCCAGTTAGTTCTTCTTCCCCCCCCCCTTTGAAAGTCTGTTTTAATTGTCCAATTGCCACAGTGCTTGTCAAAGCCAGTTCTGATTAATCTCCTTTGTCAGTGAATAAAAGATTTTTTTTTCAGTTATGTAAAATGTTGTCTTAGAATCTCCAGCACCCTTCTATTTCTGAGGCTACATATCCTGATTACCAATCCTTCCAACTTTTGCATCCCAAACACAAGTTTTATTAATAATGTTATTAATTATTAATAATCTTCATTACAAGTTTTATCCATTTCAGAAACAGAAGTTGGTAGAAATCCTGGATTTCTTCATCAATGACTTTGTAAATTTATCATGGGGAATAAATTTGAATACTGAGTTTTTCTTGTATGTATATATGAATACTATCCTATCACCAGCAGCATTGCACTTCAGGACAGATCCTTTTTTTTTTTTTTAAGGTAAAATAATTATTATAGATTTATTAAAAAATTACATCCTCAAAGAGATGTACCTCCTCCTTGAAAGGAAATAGAAGAAAGGCAGCAGGCTACTGAGGTGAGGCTCTATTTACGGCCTCCTTCTCTGGGTGAGCCTTGAGGCTGGAGTCTGAGACAATACTATGGAGAGTTCAAAGTTCAGTCGGTGGTTCTCAGTCTTCTGACATCACTTATGCCGAAGCACCAGTTCTATGCATGTCAGTATTGGCTTCCTGGTTCTCATAGCTTCCTTTTCCAAGCATAAACTTTCATCTCTTCTTGGTTCTAGTCCTAACACTCCCAGGATTGAGTCTGGGCCAATAGACAATGTGTCAGAGAGTTCAAACTTTTGTGGACTATCTACTTTGGTAGGTTCTTTCAGGACAGTTTTTGAAATGTTCTTTTTGACAACAAATGTGATGCTACTCCTCTTCAATTGTATTATTCCTGGCCTAGTAGATCATGTGATCATCCAATCTAAAATGGCTGATATAAGTCCACTTAAGTCTAGTGGCCTAATTGTAAGGACATCCAAAGGCACACAGTTTAAGTTGCTCTGCGGGAGAGAGAAAAAAAATGGGCAATTCCCTCTCTTGCAGTTTATAGCCTCTGAAAACCCACTGGAGATCATTAGCTAGGGGCAGATTCTGACTCACAGCACGTAACACAACAATGCCAAGATCAGGAACTCTGGTGTGGTCTGTAGGGTGCTGCTAATACAAAAGGTTGTGCCTCTGTGTAGGTTTGAACCCACCAGCAGCTCTTCAAAAGAGAAAAGATGGGCCATCTCATTCTATGAGTCAGTTCTGATTTGAAGGCCATGAGTAGCATGCTTGTTTGGTTTGGGGGGTTGTTTTCTTTAAGCTGCGCTTGAGAATGCCTGATATATCAATCTTTATGTATTCTATTCATTTTTAACAACTTCCAATTTTCTTTGCTACTTCTCACCTTTCATGTTCCAAATATTAATTATCATTTACAGCTGTTTCTCCTCATTTTGAGTTGTGCAACACCAGTAAACGAAGGTCCTTCATTGACAGGAAGTTTTATTCCATCTCTGTCATTAACAGATGCCATAGGGAGCTCTGGTGGCCTAGTGGTAAGAAGCTGCACAGTAATCCCAAGGCACTCAGTTCTAATCCACCAGCTACTCCAAGGGAGAAAGGTGGACAATCTCTGCCCATGATTAACTGCCTCTGAACC